TGGCCTCTCTGTTATCCCTGTTTGGAACAGGCTCCTTCTCTGCTACCCTCCCACGGAGGGGGGATGCTCCAACCCAGCTGCCCATGGACTCACCAGCAGAACAGGCTTCCTGAAGATGTCCTGTGCTCTCATCCCACAAAGAATTTCACTTTGGAAGTCACTGTACAGCTACACTTTCTCCCTTCAGAGGTGGACAATGCTGAGAGACAGTGCACTCAGCATACTTTGCAACAGACTTTAGAAGCTCAACAATGTTTAACTTTAGCAAGGTTGCCTTTACTGATGATGCATTTACCCTTGTTCTCTCCAGGCAAGTCTATTAAGGCACCGATAACACTTAATCCTTGACCTGTTCACAGATAGATAAGCAGGCTGGTACCAGCTCTAGTCTCCCTAGCACAGAAGCATAAATTATAGCACAATATGAGAAATTCCGGAGGATCTGAGCAGTTTACATAATCCCAGTGGAATTAATAAATATGCTTCAAGATATTCCTTGTGTTGTAGCAGATTAATTTGTTTTTATTAATCTATCACATCTTTGAATGTTGTAATCTCATCCTAGCTCCAGGAAATTGCTGTGATCCCTTCTCCAAAGCTCTTAAAATGTTATGTTAGTCATAAGTCTATTACTGAGATTAAAGAACTAAGAGAGTAAGGGACACAGTATGATTCTGATGAAGAGGAAGGTTAAAGCTACAAGGCTACCCATTTTTCTGGGGGAATCACACGAGATTTAGGATAATTTTTTTTCTCCTGCTAACACTGGATTAGAAGACGTTCCCATGTTGGCATGCAACATGTGAACTTCAAAGGGAAAGTGTTTTGAGTAAGGAGAGAGTGACTAGAGTTTTCCAAGAGAAGTGCCCATCCCATGAGCACCCTAGGCACTTTTTTTGAAGTAGACGTTTACATGTTTCATCTATTTTAGGCAACACTGGAGGGCTTGCCAGCTTCTAACAGGTTGCCCAGGGAAGTGGCTGAGTCACCATCCCTGGAGGTATTTAAAAACCATGAAGATGTGGCTTAGGGACATCATTCATTGGTGGACTTTGCAGTGTTGGGTTAATAGTTGGACTTCACGATCTTAGAAGTCTTTTTCAGACTAAATTATTCTGTGATCCCCTATGTCATGAGTTGGAGTGAGAGATAAAGGGCAGCTTTCCTCAGTGTGCTCCTCACTCTCCACTGCTCCTGCAGAGTCTCTGGGACAGCAATCCTTGCTGCCCTCCCACCCTGAGGCCACTCTTGCACTGGCAGGAACCAGATGGTTGGGTCTTTCACTCAAAGCTGTCCAGATCATCTGAGGTAGCGGTGCAGCTTCTTGCTCTCTAATGCACAGTCTTCCTGGGAAAGACTGTAGAAGAGGAACCACTCACATTTTAAGTCCTTCATTTACAGGTTTCCTCAGTGTCTCACTGTTGTGCAGTGAAATATGGTCACTGTTCAGAGCTGACCTGCAGTTCATGCCTATGTTGTAAAGATGGCAAAAGCTGGTCAAGGGTCTCCATTCACGACCTTTACAAAAATTCAAATAACTGCTTTGTCAAAATGGCACTGGAAATAGTAGGGCTTGTTTGGGGGTGAGTGGGAAAAGAGGATGTTACTAAAAGTTTTCTGGCAAACTGAAAAGAGTATGTTTTGTGAAAGTCAGAGGAAAATAGTTAATAAAACAGGTACGTTTTTCTGGATCTTCTGAGTTCTTGGCTTTTGAAAAGCAGACTGTTAATTAAATGAAAAGATGCAAGAAGAAAAGGAAGTTCTGTCTAATCCTAGAGCTGAATGTGGATACGTCGGCTGTCTGTAATAAAACACCTTGTCTCCTTCCCTCCCTGCCTCCCCTCTTCCCTGCCCTTTCCCTCTCTCCCTCCATCCTGAGTATGGATGTCACCATAGTTTTTGCAACTGCACAAATTCTTGTCCAGCAACAATTCGAGAAAAACCCAACCAGATGACACAGTGATGTTAAAACAATGGCCTTTGAATTTTGGCTGAGCTGATTAAAAGAAAATAACTTAAAAAGTACTTTAAAAGCATTAGGGGATTCAGCCTAGCCAGCAACACAACAAACAGCATTTTTATTTACTTAGTCCTCCTCTCTTTTTAATGACTTTTCCATTGAAATGTTCTCGAATTTAAAGCAGGAAAATCAGCGGCTATACCAGTATAATTTGCATCAATTAGTCACCCAGAAGTTGGTGCAATTCTATTTTGATCATGCAAAACAGCAATAGCCTACGGGTCTGTACAAAAAGGGACTAACACACAGCCACAATATATTGCTAAAAATACCTCATAGGTGAGCACATCTGCATAGACCACAGAGTGTTCCTTCTCCCTAAGGAGAAAGCTAAAAAGATATCTTAATGAGTAGATTTGTGAGAGTTTTTTTCGTTTTGGGGGGGAAGGTGAGGGGGAGTGTTTCACTGGTTATTTTAATAACAACCTAAGAGGCATTTAAATATGAATATATTCTTGTCTAAAATATAAACGAGAGAAGGACAAGAAGGTAAATACTAATCAAGTATAAGCAAACATTGCAATTATCAATTTCTTCTGCCTAACATTTCCCCAGTTACAACTGAAGATATTATTCTGATAAGGATGCCAGTTTCTGTTCAAAGCAAATTTCAGGACTTTGTGAAGTAAGAGAGCTGGTATTAGCTTTTTGCCATCCTGGCCTGTGACAAACCCATCAAGTCTGAGAGGGGTCAAAATGTGGCAGTTTGTGAGAAATGCTCCTCTTCTCCCAAGGTGGGGACATGCAAGCAGTGTGCATCTCCTCATTCCTCGGGAACATTTTGCCCTTCTCTTTGTTATTTGCAGCACAGAGAAAGAACTAACAATTTGTTGCTACAGAGGTAATTGCGAGTTTGGTTTTGATTTGTCTTACCTGGAAATCAAACTGGAGCCTCCAAAGGGCAGGAGGGCCTACATGGCAGCTCTCTGGAGTCTCAGTGGCTACAGTGTGTCTGTCTATATGGAAAATATTTTTTAAAACATGCTTGCTATGAGGACTAAATGGCAACATGGGATGCCTGCCAATAACCTCAAATCTGTAGTGAGAAATAATTCAGTCTGCTTGCAAGCTGAGTTCCAGCCCTTCCTCTCCTGTATAGGCTGTTGATTTGTCTGTGATTTACTCAGAGTAGGAACAAAACATATTTTATTAAGGCAACATCTTCCACTCTAATCATGGTTCTTAAAGTAAAATGCCAACATTTTACTCACTGGCTGCCCAGCACCTTTCAGGTCTACTTTTAAACTTAGTACAATGTGGTAAGTAGAGGCCTTCATCACTGGTGGCAGCTTTCATAATCAGTCATTGCTAGATTTAGCTGGTGCTCTCTCTATATCATCAAGTAGTTAGAAGCCAATTCATTACCAGAAGGCTGGTGTGTGCCCTTGATGCATTTTTCCAGCTTATCTAAGTTGTTGAAATTGTCGAGAAATGAGCACTTGAAAGTGAAGGTCCACAGGTATCAAGCTGAGTTTCAGTTGTCTGGTAAGTGAAGATGCAAATGACATTTCCTACTTGCTTCTTATCAACCCCTGTAACAGAGGTGACAGAACACCTCCTTGAGAAAGCCCTCACTGTTCTCACCAAAGATAAACATGGAACTACCAAAGTCAGGCATGGGAGACGCTTCCTAGCCTATTGCAGCAATGCCACGTGTGGATTTACAAAACTGTGGTCCTAAATATATGTGAGTATTGCTTCTGGCTGCATGTGGAGCAGAGCCTTCGAGGTTGCAACTTTCAGACAGGCCATGTTGAATGGTGATGGGACATTATGGTATGATGGGAAGAAGATGAGCCTCAAAGGAGCTTCAGAGTTGCCCAACTCCACCTTCAGTATGGGAAACAAATAAATGTCTAACCTGTGCACATGCTAGAGATTTGCATTGCTAAAGTGCTGGCATGCCACGTCTCCTTGGACTCTGCAATGAAGGTTTTAAGGGCTGACACCAGTACTTGGTCAGTCAAGTTAGGAACTTGCCCTGCGTTCTCCTCCTGTTAGTCCCCACTGTTAGTTGTGTCTCCAGTCACATCCTTTGTTTGTACGGCACATGACACAAAATGTAGCTTTCAGATGTAAGGGCTAAACATGAAGTAGATGGTTAAGCTGACCTAACTGTGGGCTGCTGCCGAAATGAGTGGCCCCACTGCCCTTCCCCTTGTTCACAGAGCAAGACTTATCACTCCTGCTGCCTCATTTGCACTGGCACTGCTGTGTTTTCAACCTCACGATGTGCTGGTTCAGAGAGTTCAGCGAGCAAAGCCTGAGTCGCCTGCTCACATGGTTATAGCAGTGCTGGTTGTAGGGAAAAGGGAGAAGAAATATTGCTGGGGAGAGGGAGGGTAGACATACCCTATTTTGCAGCAGAGATGTTTCATTGCAGTGGATTTAGGATTAAATGTCAACCTGCTGGAGTGCAGATAGAATCTCATCCACAGGGAGTACATGGGCTGCTCACAGGGAAAATGACTAACCAAGTTGTTATTCTCTCTGTTTATGGTCAGGAAAGCCTGGAGTTCACTGGCCACACAAATGGTGATGCCAGGCTGTGTCTGGCCTGTGCCAGGGGATACCCACATTCCTAAAGGCAGGTTGTAAGAGGTAAAATTCACACACTTTGCATTATAAAAATGCATCATTAGCTGCAGGTAACACTCAGATGTCTGCATCTGTACAACGTGCAGAGAGGAGTCTGCAGGAATGGGAGCTTCCCCAGGGCAGCATCCCTGTTCTCTGCCTTGCCTAAGGAGCTGGAAAGCAATGAGCGTGTTTGAGTTCAATATTAACTGCTCAGACTTTCCAGGCTCTGGCTGTGGCTCTTGGAGCTGAGACAGACCCCGACAGCATTTTAGCTGGATGAAATAAAGAGAGCAGCAACTGGAGCCAAGCCAGGATGCAGTTAGCTGAGAGAGAGAGCTTCCTTTCCATTTTTATAAATTTGTTCCAAGACTGTTTTATTAAGCTTATTCTTTCTTCACAGAACGCTGGTCTAGTTTTCAGAAGAGTTTCAGGCTGATTGGCAAACCATTCCACCCGTGAAGCAAAGTTGATCCCAAATTCCTGTCCGCTCCTGTGAATCCCAGCAGCTAGACTTAAGACTGGAATGCTGAGGAGATGGGGGATCTCCCCTTTGAGATGGACAAGGACTGGCTGAACCCTTGGAGACAAGCTCCAGCCAGCATACCCTACGATTCAGTGGAGCACGAGGTGGCCTTTTCCACAGTCTCCTCAAATGTGTAACAACTAGGAACAAGAGAGGACCTGTAGTAAAAGCAAAGTAGACTTAGTATATTATAACTGCAGCATTGCCATGGTTGAATTCCCCGAAATTTAAATAAAGGGAGGTTTCCTAGAAACCCTGTTGCAAAACCAGCCTTTCTTCTGTTCTCTTATGGGCAGCACAGGCTGCAGAAACGCTTCCTGGGCACACCTGAATGTGGGGAATCCCCAGGAAGTTTTGGGTCATCCCTTGGCACAGGCAGACAGAAACTGCGGAGCTGGAGAACACCTGCAGCCTCCCGACAGCCAGACTGAGGGAGGAAGGAAGATCGTGGTGGAAGAGCAGCAGCTGTTCCTAGAGTGTGCTGCACGGAAAACAAAATTGCTGCGACGAGAAAATTAGGGGCCAGAGTGAGGACGCAAAACAATGTTGATATCAAAGAGCTACAGACTGAAAAAGGAGAGTTTTAAAAAAAATGTAGAAGGACCAAGCGAGGGGATATTCAAAGGAGGAGTAACAAGATATGCTTATGTGCTAAACTCAGCGTGCAAGGGAAGACTTGATTTTAGGTATGGAACAAAGGTGAAATGTAACAGCAGGGAATGAGTTGCAGGTACACACTGAAAATAAGAACTATATTTTCTTAGAGGTTTTGCCTCTGAGGCCAGGAGAAGTACTGGGCAGGATGGCATTGTGGTGCTGTTGATGGGAGCGTGTGTCTCTCAGAATCCACCATAATCAGGGCTTTGGAAACTGATCCTGCAAGCTGGTCAGTGCTCCCAATGTCACCAAACATCACAGCCATGGCAGCAAAGAGAAATTCATAGCAGATCCAGGATCAGGCACAATAAAAGCAGGGATAAGGATTTCTGGGAGCCTCACTGTAGGGCAGAGCACATGTATATTTGTTAACAAGAGATTATTTAAACCTGCATTGAGATCACGGGCAAAATACCAGAGCTTAGGAGATGGAGTGTGGTACAAGTGAGGAGACTTAAGTAAATTGCATTGATGCAACTTGAGTCAATTTGTATTTGATTTGGTCAACAAGCCCAAAGCTTGTATAGATATTTGTATTTCAGAGGGATAATGGATTGCTCCAGGTTAGGTCAAACTGACTTCAGCTGAAGTCAGACAAGTGCTCACATTTGGGCTGGACTTGTTTGTGAAGCTGCTGCCCCTTTGTGCTTAAACAACTAAGTGTGGGCTGAGTTAATTCCTGCTCCTCAGCTGATGGACTGCAACCTCGAGCTGAGGACAAACCTTGGGAACAGGTGTGCAAGCTCTTTGCCTCTTAGGCTAAGTCAGTGTGAACCACCCTTAAACCAGTTGAAAAATCTTCCTGGAAAGGAGTTTCAAAACATCTTATGTTTTCCTGTTGATTAATTGCATCAGCTTAAAATTTTCAATCAAACTGGTGGAAATTCACCTGTAGTCTGCTCTTTAAGCAATATGGTTCCTGAAAATTAAACTGGCCTCAGACTGAGGATAAATGAACAGGAGAGGAAAAAAGCTTTATCCTAGACAGGAATCTTGAGAGTGACTCTGATCTTCAAGTTTAACCTAACATTGTGCCACTGATATCAAAGCAGATATTCTTCCTTTACACAGAAATAAATGTGATCAGTAGTTAAGCTGGTAGTTCGGTATTATTCCACTAGATGTAAGGTTTTTATAACATTACCAGCTTATTAATAGTCAAAACCCAAAACTTTACATTAGTGTCAGGGATGTGGGGGAGAAGCAGAATGAAGAATGGAAAAAGATGACATTATTTGCCCAGGGCAGATGATTAAAGAGCAATCTACTTCAACAGTGTCACCTTTATGTATTTTCTCCTGTCTACCATTGCCACAATTTTCCACACCTCAGGGGAAGAACTGGCACTCTTAGCAGAGCTCCTAAATGAGTTCTCCTTTCTCTGAGATACTCTTACTAATATTTTTTTTTCTGGAAAGCAACAGGTAAAACCACCTCCAAACTTCACAGAACAACACAATGAAGTTAGTCCTGTTGCTGGCATTGGGGAGTTGAATGTCAGGGCACAGCCACTACTTTTATGCTCCTGGGCAGCAGAGTGCTTGCACTGCTTTGACAAATGACAACTCTTACTTTGGTTTTTTTCATATGCATCAATACATTACACGGGTTTTCTTGAAGATACCATCAGCTTCCCTTTCCTGCTTTATTTATTCCGCAAACCTTTCTGCATCTGAGAGAAGAAGAAATTTTAATTCTCAGGAATCTGTGCTCTTTAAGTTAATGCCTGTTACTATATTCTTTCACGTTTATAAAGCCTAAGCTCCTCACAGCAGTTTGTACAAACACTTCCTACAAAGATGGGTCTGTGATTAAATATATACTATTGGGATAACCTGTGTGCAACTTCTTCTGTCTCTCAGTGTTAACCACTGGTGTCTGGAACTCAACATGACTGTAATCCCTGCCAGCCTTGCTGGACAATATAAATGATGTCTCAAAGATGCCTGTTGACAAATTCCTGATTTTAGCTTCTGCTTCTTTTGTCTGCCTGCCTGGAAATTTTAAAGGAGTGCCTATTGCCTTGATATCTAAAACCAGTATTCTTTTAACTGTCCTCTTTTGCCTCTGGTATTAATCTCTGTGTTAGAGACACCTCTTTGAATAAATATAAAGCTAGTTTACACAAGGAGTATTTATCAGTCCATGCCTCCTCTTTCTGAGGCTGAGACAGAGGTGTCAGCTATATGGGATGAAGTCATTTGGCAACTAGTCGTGTTGATGTAGCCATTTCTTGCTTTTTTAACTGCACAACATTTAATTGTGTAGCCATTATTTGTCTTGCAGGGAACTACTTTTAAGAATACCTGATACTGGTCCTAGATCTAATCTATGAAACTTAAACCTGATCTGTAAGGCTAAACATTTATAATGTGAACTCTAAATAAGGAATTCTGAGTTGGTAATGAAAATGCGAAGCTAAATTGCTCTTATTAGTCTGCCTTTTTATGTCAATATATTTTCAAACAAGCCTTATGGCTTTGGTAACGGAAAATGGTCTTTCTGTTCTCAAGTCTGCCTTTAGGCCTTAAATTCAGTCCAGGCTGATGTGACCAAAAGTCATCACCCCTTTGACTGCTCTGTGATCAGCTACAAAATTTAAAGCTGTAGAGGTCGACTGTTTGGCTGTCTGTCATAATTGGCACTCGTGTTGAAAGTCTTAACAACCACTTCAGAGAGGGAGCTATGGGTGCTGAATACAGAGGCTTTCTCAGCTCCAGAGTCATCACTCACGCCCACACAGCTGCCTGCCAGTCTCTGGAATGTATAGCAGATTTTTTTTTTTTTTACAGTGGTTGTATCACATCTGGCCACCTAATCTGGGATTGGGGAGAAGCATTACTCACTTCTAACCCCTGAAGAGGCACAGGCTGGGGGAGCTGAGGGTTTGAGAGGGGCTCCTGTGGAGACCACACCTCCCAGGAGATCACAACTGGAGGTAAAGAAGAGCCCACGCCTGCAGGGGTACACAAATCAGCAGCACATGATAAGCAGATTGGGAGAAATAAACTTCATGTGGGTCACCTAAAATAGTGCAGCAAATGGTCAAAATGTTCTAAAAAAGGCTTTGAATAGAATTTCTTAGGAGGTCTTGGGCAAAAATCTAGTCAGACTCATTTTACTGAATTTTTTTTTTTTTTTCTTCATGTAGGATAGGATAAAGTAAAACATTTCAATGTTTTCCATTGCACAAAAAAAAAAAAAAAGTCTCTGAGGAGTTACTGTCTGCTTTCTCTGTTTTCAGTATTATTGATCATAAGCAAATGTTGAAAATCCATATGTTGACAGAATGGGCAAGAGCAGATTTTGAACACGATTATTGGGAATTTTTTTCCTTGAATGCTTCTCTTACAGAAAAATAGAAAATAATGAAGTGGTATACAGGTTTTCCAAATCTGATAAATATGCAAGTTAGTAGACAAATTGTAGAAAAACCCTTTCATGCTTTCAAGACCAGGAGTTTCTCTTTGACAAAAGAAGAAATAATACTTTTTATTTCATATTTTCTTCAAGTTGTTTCATTATGATATTTAGAAAAATACACATAGAAAAACGAGAATATTAGAAAAGTGATACTTGAGGTGTTTAATTATCTTTCACCCTGGAGTGCTCTTTTTATGTATAGCAGATCTGAACAGAGCCTCTTTTATTAAAATACTCCCAGTACTGAAAAGTGCAGCCTGCTGAGTAAAAAGACCCTTCTGACATGTACAGAACTTCTGAAGATCCTTTTGCATGTAGTTTGGGCATATTGAACAAATAGGTAACTTTCTCAGTGATGGGAGGTGATAATACTTTAAATTAATTGTGTGGAGCTGCCACAGGTACTTCTTAACCAGGTGTATGGGAAGTTGTCTCTCTGAAGCCAGTATTTACAAAGGGAGGGAAAAGTGGCAGTGCTTGTAGTATTTGATGGCATCACTTTAAAAATGAGACTTGGTTTTTTTTCAGTGCTATTGAGTCTCTTTCCTACCCTCTCTTCAGTTAACAATATCCTTGTGGAAAAAAGAAAAATCCATACAAGGAAGGAAGGTGATCCTTACACAAAATATTTCAGGTCATTTTGACACACATGGGAGCTGGTGAAGAACTAAACTCTATTACTGGATTGATGGGCTGGATTATAACAGCCAACTGGAAAAAAATGGCTTACTTTTCAGATCTCCAAGGATATTCAGCTTAGAAATACAACCTGTTGCATCTGCTTTGACTGAACATTGATGTAGAATGTCCAGAAGAGCTGGCACCCAAAGCCACAAGACAGGACAATCTTTGTCTCTGTTTTCCCAGGCAGGAAGTCACAGCTCAGTCACAAAATCATGACTAATTAAAAAAACCACAAACCACAACAAACAAACAAACACAAACAAACCGAAAAACCCACAAAACCCCACAACAGTTCAGTAAAAAGTCCTCATATCTGAGCTTCTAATCCACAGCAGTACCCAAGGCACTGGAGGAATATATCCTTTCCT